AATGTTTCTCATGGTCCTTGAATTAGCTATTTTTTATTGGCAGAACAGTGCTAGTGTACATTACCTTCCTAAGAGACAAATGCTTTTTTAATTATGTTTATTTCATTGCTACTCTATGCTGGGAGAAGTTCACCTGTGCTACAACAGCCCTGGCTGCATTCCAATTGTTAGAGACCAGGAACTCTTGGTTCCTTGATGGAAAGGAAGAATTTAGAGCACTTAAAGGTTAATATAGATTACATCAAGGCTACTCAGAACATGCAGTTTGATTTGCAGGGGCCATACAGCTGCTATTTCAGTGAAAACTGGTACAGTATAGAGAAAAAGAAGGAATCGTAAATAAGATCAGAAGAAGGAATGCTGGGGTGACAGAAATATTTTCAGCAAGTAATATAGAAATGAACAGGGGCGCTCCAAGACTCAGATATGAATAGAACAGCTACATTTGTGTTTGTTGATTATAAGATATAAGATGTAGAATGCTTTGTTTAACTCCAAAATGGTACCGGAGCCAAAGAAAAAGTGGAATATTAGAAATAGAATCTGATATTACTAGTTTCATTGATAATACGTACTCCTTGCTAGTTCATTGCACTAGCCGGAAGCACATATTATTAAATTACATCTGGCACTGTAGACATCAAAGCATCAGTGCCTGGATGCCATCTTTAATGTTATCAGATATGAAAATAATCTCCAGTATTATCAAATATGACAATAATAAAATGGTTTTTTTAAAACAAATAATACCAGGCAATAAAATATTGATATTTTACTTAAGATGATATACATTTTTATTGATATGTAAGATTACATGAAATACTATGAATAAAAATCTTGTGATTTTTTTTAACATTCTATTTTTTTAAGATTAGTGCCCTGAACCTAAGAATTAGCTGGCCCTTGATTAAATATTTGCTATTAGGGTTTAAGAACTCGGTAAAGGCTAGCCTACCTTAGCAAAATTCTAGGCAGTGTAACTGATTCATTTTCTCCAGTCTATAGAATAAATTTACTATACCTATGGTACTATGTAGAGAGAATCGGCATGGTATAATGGTTGATATGCTGAACTGGGAGGTGGGGGGGGGAGATGGAAGCTAGCTGGGGGTTCTGGGCCACTTCTTTCCACCTAATCAGAGTTAGACTGTATTTATTTTTTATTTTTTATTTATCACTAACTTCTATGCCGCCCTTCTCCCCACGGGACTCAGGGCGGCTCACAGCATGTTAAAAAACAACACAAAAAACATTTCCCCTATAAAACCAATTAAAAATCAAATATATTAATGGCTGTGTCGTTATTAAAATCTTTAAAAAATTTTCCCTATTTAAAATTCACCCTAGGTCAGTCCCGCTTGTTGAAAAAGCCATGTCTTGAGGGCGCGGCGGAAGGTTAAGAGATCCGGGATCGTCCGG